TATAAATGTAAAGTTCTCACGAGCATTTACAGAAAACAAGCCTTTGTTCGCCTTTTGTTCTTCTTCTCTAATTAAAAGCTGAAGATTTTACAAAAGATAATCCCGATTCACTGTTTCGTGCAGTAAGTTCTCACGGTGCATAGCGTGACCTTGAAACTGAAGCCGCAATAATTAGAGACGACTTTAATCTAATATATTCAAGAATGCTCCTGCTGCCTCGTTTTATCGTGCTGGCGTTCCTCTTCTCACCTGCATTTTAATTAAAGGAATGGACTAGAAAAACATGTCTGTTTCTAAGTCACATGTTTTTGAGAAAAATTCTCACGGTGCACGATCAGTAGGGGCTCGCGTATCGCATTGTCGTCTCAGGCTGGAATTTTAAATTCGACGTTTCTTGATCACCTGCAATATTTACGCTCACTAAAATATCAATGAATGCTAATGGGCTTTCTCCCGTGGATTTTGAATAGCTTTATAAATGTACACATTTCTCATTGAAAATATAGGCCAAACAGCCCTTTCATATTTGTCCTAGGTCGACTGACGTGTCCTCAAATGTTGCCAGTTGAACAAGGTAATTTTTCGCCCTAAACAGAGTTTGAAGTCTATGATTGTCCGATACCGTTGAAATTTATTCAAGTTTTATGATTTATTTGCATTAATTGTCAGTCACTTTTAAGTGCACAGATCCCCTAACTAGTTGTATGAGAACCTCGAATCGGTTGTAAGCCCGGCGTTAAATGACTGTATCTACTGATCTGCAAACTCCGGACAGAGGCCACATGCTCGCTGCAAAGTCCGGGTGTGTTATACAATCATCGAATGAAGCTGAGAAATTTGGTAAACTCATATTCTCGACTGCATTGCTTATTACTCAGATACTGACATAAATGTAGGAGTTACTAAGCTTCCATGTGTAGTTGATTCTGGAGAAGGTAGCCCCCTATTAGAAAGGAGATTTTTTTTAAATTCGAAGCAAGAGCTAGATACAGTACGCAGTCAAAGATAGCCTGGAAAAACGGCCAATGGGTCTACTTTGCGACCTACGGGCATTTTAGAACTTTGACTATTATTAACCAAAAGTTTCTTTCTTTATTCCTTAAGTTTACTATTTGCCAGATATACGTTGCGCCCGCATATTAGCCTCTGGTTTCCAACATGCAAATACCTGTCATATTATTCGCCAGTTTCAGTAAGTATTATTAACATAATTAACAATTCTAGCATTAACATCCTGCCTCTAGCAGTAGCAGCTTAGTGCTCGCAATCTAGACTTAGGAGAAACTGACACAGTTTTTGGTGACTAAAGGAAAAGCTTGAAAATCGGGGCAAGTACTGATGTGCTACGAGCTTTACATGCATTTTCTCGAAATAGCATATACTCATACATACATTTTTTGTTGACATCAAGAGGCTATGGGCCTTTGCGTTTTTTTTTACTTTGCGTCATCTCTGACTTAAAATAGTGATAGTAGAAGTATTTAGAACACTCAGATGCATCGCTCCTAAGTAATATATGAATAGTAGCAGTAGTAGTGGTGTACTGGCAATTGCCTGTCCGATGTCTGGCCTTCTTGTCGTGACCCCAGGCTGTCTAGACCTCAAGGTCGTTGCGGTCGCGACTTCGACATAGGCCAC